AGTGGAGTTCGATGCTTCTGCTGTACCTTAAGAAGGCATTGATGAACCATATCGTGTTTCTCTTTGGAGTGCTCCTGAACAACTCTGTATCCATAGATGGCAGCATGATTCCAAATTGGATCAGAACAAGCCTCCTTCAGCATTGTCTTGAATTTGCTCAACGGGTTGTCATAGAAGGAATGAAAGGTTTCTTTGGTTGTGAGCCTGGCATCACACTCAAGCACAATCTCACACACTGCAGCCAAGGTCATCGTAATAGAAGGCGTTGGCAGTGAAAAATGCACTTCAGGCGTGATCACAACCAAATGGACTTGCCGCTTGTATTCCTGATTCAAAGCCGAGTCAAAGACGATGACTTCAAAAGGCCCTGTCAGATTTGGCATCTTGGCAAGGGGGTCAGTCGGATCTATGATGGGCAGCAAAAGAGCACATGGTTCCTTTGGTACAACTTCCTTTGCATGTTGCAGGTTCCCTTTGGAGACGAAGGCAATGCCTCCCCGGTTCGTGGAGAGCTGCTGTTTCTGCGCAAAGGGAATCGAAGATTTGTCTTTCCCGACAAAGGGATGGTCCGACTGGAGCTGCAAATCCTCCCATTTGCTCTGCTTCATGACTTTTTTCTTACTGGTCCATGGATCTTCAAATTGCCAAGGATCAACTGCCGGTGCAGCTGGATCAGGTTGAGGTTGCCCTTCCATGCCACCAAGAGACACAGCTGAGCAAGGTTGCAACACCTGTAGGCCACCAACCAGAAGGAAGGCCCTTCTGAGATTTTCAGCAAAAGCCCTGAGCATTGGGGGAGCCCCTGCTGTTCGCCATGCTCTGGTGGACTCCTCAAGGATAAGATCCAGAAGATGTCGTTTCTGGGCAGGAATATGAAAATCTGGCGGCACAGCAAAATCTGCAACAATCCACCTGTGGAGCAGCTCCCATCCACACATTCCTGGGCGGGTTCTAGTAGTGTCAACAATGATGATTGGCCTGAAGCCCAACGGAATAATGAATTCTTCCGCAAAGGTTGTCCAGTATTGCTGAGCAGTTGCAGGTGCCTGGAGAATGACGACTCGGCAAGTATGTTCAGCTGCATTGCAAATGACTTCAATGCCAACCCAGTGTCCTTCTCTCAGTGCAACAAAGCGCTGGACTTGATCAGACATTGGCTTGACTCCAGCAGCAATAATCGAAAGATCATGATGCAAGACTGGTGGGCAAAATGACTCTGGCAGGAAGTACGACATGAAGAATTCAATCTCATCACTGGTGGCCCATCCTGGATGTGTGCGATAGATGTTGGCCCTCATATCCAGCCAATCATCAGCAACAAAGAAGATCTCATTGATGTTGTACCCCTGAGGGGGTCTTCCAGTAGCCCGAAGGGCAAGATCATTCGCTCTACTGGGCGATTCCATGATTGCAACCAAGAAGGCATTGCGACTCGCTCTTGCAAACTGAAGCATACGATCATCCGTCTGGGTATCACGCCAAACGAAGTCCGCCTGGTCAATGATCTGCATAACATGTTCACTGTGTTGAGAGCGCTGCAGGCGTTGAGTGGTTCGATGAGTGGTAGGCAGAAGTGGTGCACCAGCTCTAGCATAGAAAGTCCTGAGGGTATGCCACGGTGCAAGCTCCGAATCCTCTGTTGTTCGGATCCATCTGAAGGCATTCTGAAGAACTCGAATTCTCATGACATTGATGAGTTCCAGGACCGCAGTACGTTGTCTCACAGTGAGTTGCTCAGGTGAGTGGTACAATACCCTCCATTGGCCTTCAAAGAAGCGAACCTCGACAAAGATCCAATCAAAAAGTACCAAGATCGGAACCACAAAATGTTGGAAGCAGCGCTGCAAATCCGCTGGTTCGACTGGAAAGCCGAATTGGGCTTCGTTGTTAACCCAGACTGCAGGTGGGCACCAACAAATCGAGGGCATCAAAAGCTGCAAAGTGTCACAGTGAAAAACCATTTCATCAATAGCCAGAGCCCCTGGCTCAAGGTTGAATTGCAGAAGGCGAGCCATGACATGGTCATCATGTATGTTGCAACCAGGATTCTCCGCAAGGTGGTCCATGCCACCAAGAGACACTTGGGCCACTCTTGCCGGACGAGCATCACACCAAAGGACATCCCCATTGATGAGCATCAAAGGTTGATCAGCTCGACATTCAATAGCATTCCGCATAGTAATAGCACACGCTTGTTCCAGCTGAGTCGAACATTGGATGGGTGTCAAGTTTCGGGGCATGCTGCATATCTTCAACCATTTGAGATCATTTCCACCAGCAAGGAGAATCCACTTTTGAGAACTGACTGGTTCATAGGGGCCATGAATTGCCAGAATAACTTGAACACCTAGAAGAGTTCTGCACGCCTCTTGATTGACCTTGACAAAATGCATGCACTGATCACCACACTGAAAGGTCGGGATGGAGCCAAGACGATCAACATTGGCATGCTGGACCCAATTGTACGAACCGTCTTGCTGAAGCAACAGGACTCTGGCAGTCAACCTTGGTTGCTGATCCTGGCATACATATTCGACGACATGGAGGAATCCATTGAGGTGTGCATCCAGCAAACAGTCAAGCTCAACGTCTTCATCGTGTTCACCCCACTGCTGAGTGGGGGAGACAATGGGATCCTCATTATTTCCAAGTCCAGCACGGTGAACAACAAGATTCCCGAGGACAAAGGAGCCACACTTCATGGTGAGGTTTCCAACTGGCAGCTGGGCCCAGGTCAGATCTTTCGGCAGGTCATGTCCATCACTACTGAGCACAAGGAGATGCATATGCGAGGGTGCCAGTTCCAAGGCCTGAAGAATATCAGAAAGAACACTTGACTCCTCATTCTTGTTGATAGGCAAGAGGGTAAGATCATCACAGAAACGCAGCAAAGTGCATCCCGCCAACCAAGGCTGCCAAGTAAGAAGACTCGGAATGGCCTTCCCAACAACATCCGCAATGGGTTGAAGAACATACATCCCATCAACAACTCGTACAATCGCATTATCTGTAGTGAGCCGCTCCTCCCAACATTGCATCACAAGAGCCAGCTTAGGAAGCGCTTCTCCAGAGACTCCTTCCATGGCAAAGAGGACAGCAACCAAGGCATGCAACTGTGATATTGCATTTCCCAATTGATGGAATGCTGTACGCAAATTCCCAGGCAACGCTAAGGTCGAGGTAGTCCCAAAGAGAGATGCATACGCAAAAGGGTCAATAAAGCGGAACCCATCATTCTCCTGGATCAAGGTAGCAAAGATTCCTTTGGATTGCACATGTTCTGCTTGAAGAAGGTGCTGCGCAGTGTACGAAGCACACAGGGTGGGTAAGTACTCCCCACTTTGCAGCGTTCTTTGAAGCAACACTTGGAGGTTGGAGGCCCCCTCAAGCACCCGTGCCTTCTTCGCCGGAGGGAGAAGGTCCTTGCTACCATAGATCTGCAATAGAGCCTCATCCAGTGTAAGGTCATCAACCAACGACTGAGGCAGAGCAAAGCAATGCTTTTGGTCATTCCACAAAGCTCGTCGGCTAGTGGCACAGAGAAGACGTTCACCTGATTTATGTCCAGTGACATCACGCCTAGACCATACTGCCAGCCATCGAGTTCTGTGATTGCCTGTAAGCTGATGCATAGCAACATCTTGAGACCACAAACGCTGATAGCCAGCAAGCTGCATAGCCGCCGAGAGGACACGCCAATGAGGATGGGCCTCTAGGCCATCCGAACATTCGAAAAGTGCCAAAATCGGTCGAACTCTGGCCACATGCACGATAGCATCCAAGAAACAGAAGCCTTCATCTGCAGCAAGGCCAGAGTCCTTGCCGCCTCTACTCCAGCTTGGACATGGCGGGGACAAGGTCATGAGAAGGTTGGACTTGCTAGAGGTGGCTCTCAGCACTGTGACATCATTGATACCTGCCAGAATTCCAACATACGGCCCAGTGGGGTTGAAGTCCACTCGAATGGGACAAGTCAAGACTTCTTGCCTGTGATTATAGCTCCATGTCTTCATCACTTCTGGGCACCAGTCAACCGAAACATGAGAGGCAAATGCAAAGCCTAAGTTGGCATTTTGAAGCCACCACATAGCTCGCAACCAACCTTCATAGGCACCACAAAATAGGTGAGAAACTTGCCACGCAAGACTGCTATGGTAGGCAGGGATGTTCCAAACAGGCACCGTTTCATCAGCCACTACACATGCATCATCATGTCGTTGATGGGGCTTGACCACCAAACCAATCCACATTCCTGGAGAAAGATCCACTTTGCAGTGCTCCGCAGTACACAGAAGATCAAAGGTAGGCCAACTGTGATCCAAACACTCATCCTTTTGCAGCAACATCGAGGTACGGCGCACCTTAGTCCGAGAAGGCGAACCAAGTTGCACCTCAAGCACCTCCCCAAAGAGTACCCATTCGTCATCAGCACGGCCACATTCGCCAGTTTGGGCTATGCCTCGAAGAGCTTCAGCAACAGTGAGTGCAAGCGTCGAAGGCATCCCCACAGTTGACCATTGAATGAGCCCTTCCACTGCATGTTGACCAGCGGTTCTCTTCATTTCCTTAGTCTCCATGGCAATCCTGATGCTTTGTGAGCACCAGGTCGGTGGACGTCCAACCCTCGCCTCTCAGAGAAGCAAGCAGCTGGACCCCGGCCCTTGCGCGGGGGCGTAAGCCAAAAGGATTTGGGCCTAGATGGCTCGGGGGGAGCTTCCTTGAAGAAGTGCTCGCACTATTCATTTGGTTCCTAGATTTTTAGGGAGACTTAAGTATCTTAAGTTCGCGCTTGCAATCGACCCAGTCCCCTCAAAAGCATGTTGAGAGCCCATCCAGTGATGCAGCTGTTCATGGCCGAATTCTACTAGGCCCGCCTTAACGACAGCACCCATATGTATCCTGTGGATTGCTACTACTGACACGTAGAAACTAGAACGCTTTTATCACAACCCCTGCTCAATACACAACCTTTGCTTGCAAACTTTGTGTAGTCCGTTCGCAGCGCTGGCTTTGAAGAGGTTGCGCAGGCACCACGGCAGGCTGGAGATTTTTGGGAGACAACTGAGACATGCTCAGTGAAACATGCCTGCGGACCTAGTGAACATTTTTCAGCCTCACCATGCTTGAAGGACCTTGCCATGTTTGGTGCCACTCAGCCTTTTGGCGGAGGAGGCTTTGGTGCAACCGGGGGCGGGTTGCCGGCCGCTCAGACCACCAATGAAAGGAGGTGAGGTGTACTTATATGTGCTATACATATACACGCAGTATATATAGATATATATGTACAAGATTTAATTGTTTAGCTGCTAGTGAATGATCCCCTTCGCCGCTCAAGGTTTGGAGGTGGATGTGGTGGCGGATGTGGTGGATGTGGAGGCTGCGGAGGATGTGGCGGCTTTGGCACCCCACAGATCAAGGACCCAAACACCAATCAGGACTGCATTTTGAGGAATGTATTCGGTGCGCTTTGAATGATTGAAATGTCTAAAGAACCTGTCCGAAAGGAATCCACCCTGAGCATGTAATTATCAAGAGCTATTGTGATTGTAGCCAAGCTGCCAAGAAGTGTTTGTTCGTGGTGGTGATGTTCAGTCAGGACGCTCCTGTGCCAGAAGGTCCCAGTGATTCTATCAGCTGCTTGCGGTGGTCGCCATTTGCAAACATTTTCGCATGTGGTTCCTGGGACAAGAGACGCTCAGAAGCATGAAGGTCGGTCAGACCATAGGAAGACCAGTCCTTGCTACTAGTAGTAATGCCAGGAGCTAAAGCTACTAGTAGAAATGCCCTTCGTTACTAGTAGTGTCCTCTTGTTACTAGTAGTACGACCAGGAGCTACTAGTAGCGATGCCGCGGTGATGCCCTTTGCTCCTAGTAGCGTCCGTTTGTTTGCCAAGATGTGAGGTGTTCGCATTTGGGAGGTCACAGCCCAGAATATTGCCCCACGAGCCTTGCAATAATTATCATTAGCCTAGGTGGGCAGCATGCAACATGTGTTTCATGTTCTTCCGTGGACTCTTGCAAAAGTGCACCCCATGCTTTCTGTGATGAGGTATGGCTTACAACCATGAGGCGCCAGTCCTTTGCTGCGCCTTCTCCAAGGATGGGCAGCGGATATTCAGCGGCGGCTGTGACAACAAGGCAAGTTCCAGTTTCTATTGCAATGCGGCAAGTATGTATATACATATGCATATATATAATATGGTATTGTATTATATATATATATATCATATGTCATATATAGTTTGGTTGTACCCCGCAGCCTCTACCACGAGGTGAAGATGAAAGTCCTCCAGACGCAGCAGGAACAACAAATAGGCACAGAGCCTTGACGAGCCTTGGCCTTGGTCTGACTTCAGCTTTGGTCTAAGGTCAGCATGACGCACCTGTCAAGGAGGTCTTTGTGCTGGATGAAATGAATATGGTTGTTTCCGGCAGCTGGGATCGGACGTTGAGCCTCTCGGCAAACAAATGTGTTTTGGAGGTTGGACCAGATCGGCACATTCTGGCATGTTTGCTCCATCGAGATGACTGAGCGAGGATTCTGGAATTTGCAGCAGCCGACGCCAGTGGCAACTCTCCAACTGCCAGAGCGATGCTTGAAAAGCACAAGACTAGACATAAGAGCTCCTAAGTGCTAAGGCATGCTAAGGCCATTCGTTGCAGAAAGGGCATGACTTGCGTTGACTGGTTGTGAGGAGTGTACACAATGGATGTGAAATTCCCTTTGCTTGTGGTGGGCTGCGCGGAGAGGCATGTGCACTTTGTCGGAAGCATCAGCTTGTAGCTTTGGCATTCGGCCCGCAGCCCAGAATACGGATCCAATTTGGCCACCAAGGCTGGTGTACAACCTGCAAGCCATCCAGCAGAACCCGAACCCTTACAAGCAAGGCCAAACTGCTCTGAAAATGCAGACACGTGCGATTAGCTCCTTGGTCAAGGAGCAGATCATGATTCGCCAGCTGGTTCAATCTGGTTCAAGTTTGGGTTATGGTTCACAAGCTGCCAAGCTCAGCTAGGCACAAGGGTTTCCTCATTCCACCTTTGGACATACAATATATCCTGCACATAAAGAATGGTATGTCGTTACTTAAATATGTGTATGTAGTATCTATATATATATATGTATATAAGACATATTTAGTTACAAGACAACCCACAGCCAAACTATACATGACAATTTGCAAACCGTCACATTGCTGGCTCCCACATACCAGTTGCAGCTACTCATTTCCGGAAGCCTCCCTGCAAGTCGTCATAGGGGCTCGAGTTGCCAAGCACCCGCGAAAGAACTCTTTCTAGGTTTTTGCTAAACCCTGGAAGTGAAGTCGATGAGGTTGCTTTCCAGATAAGACTGGCTACGCAGTGGGATCTATAGAGGGCCGCTGCTCCATAGCATACATCGAGGATACCTCGAAGAACTTTGCCTTCAAGTGTCTTGACAGTTGGTGCCATTCACTGAAAGACTTGACCAGCTCAACAAATGGCATGGCTTGTCTTGCAATGTGGACAAAGGTGCCATCGAACCAATACCGAAATCTACGCGGTGAACGACATAGATTTCCATCCGCAGATGGGGAGACTCTTTTGCAATTAAACAGTTCAACACGTGTGGCTGCTGCCTTTTAGGTTTGGACAAGGTGGGGCAAGCCTGGTTTGCTTTCTGTTTCAGGACGTTTGCTACCTGCGGCGGTGACGGCACCTTCGTGTGCTGGGACAAGGAGAATCGAATCAAAGCTGCATTATAGCTGTAGTAATCAGAAACAACGAACTTTTGACTCTTCATTTCTCCTCATCAGTTCGTTGATGAGCTAAGGACAGCGCTTGAAAGCCTTTAACTCCTGTCACTATCCCATCACAGCTGGAAAGTTCAATGAAACTCAGCATTGTTTATTCAACCGGGTTGCACGGATACTCTTGAAGACCAGCTACGCTTTGCCCGAACAAAAGTAACATAGTAATAGTTCGTTGATGCTTTTTTGAGTTCAAAAGCTTGCGACTCTTCCCAAGGCAGCAGGGGACATGTACGCAGCGTGGTTCGCACTTGCACCAGAAAAGTGAGTGGCAGAATACTTTCAGTTGCTATTTTGTAGGTTGGAGGCCATCGCTAGTAGAAGAGTGCAGGAGGGGCAGAATACGTTCATTTGCTTTACATACCTTCGCTGCACACACAGTCTGCCCAACCGCAACTGTTTCGGTGCTTCGAGGCATATGCTGTGTCCTATGATTGGAGTAGAGGTCACGAGCAGAACCATCCCTCTTTACCAAAGGGGGTGCCGGCCTTAGTGAAGGTTGGTGGAAACGGATGGAAAAGGTCTAGCGGCTAGGGTGATCAGAATTTCCAATATAGGCATTGCCAATCTCCAAGGGATCGGGAAAGGATCTTTTGCATCCTGACCAGCTTGTTGTTCCACACTGAAAGAGCAAACCCAACTCTCCTTGGATCATTGCCAGGTCTTGGTTCACAAAGTGCAGGCTACTGAAGTCCAACCAAAGAGTGGTGTTGGACAACGTTCCAAGCGGTGAGGCCGGGCGGGAAGTCCAAAAGAACATGAGAAGCACGCGATCTCAAACAACAAAGCAATGGGTCAATACATGAACATGGAGTCACGTAGCATGGACCCCTACAGTCAAGTGATGAAGTTGCCTCGAAGTCCATGGGACCAAGCCCTAAGTCGTGCTCGAAGCTCATTATGTTCGTGATTTGATGCAACCCAATCAGAGTCTTCAAAGTGATTTGTAGAGGATGGTACGTCAATCTCTTGTCCGCAAGACGCGTGAGGCTAGACCAATTGAGGCAATCTTGGCCAGGGGTGCTCTTGTACAGCCACCCTTGGGCAGAGCTCACTGAGCTGTGCCAGGCACGACTTGCTCAATTATCATGTCTCACACCACTCCACACGAGCAGGAAAAACAAGAAGGATGGCCAGCTTTTCTTGTTTTGCCGTTTCTTCACCCCTTCAATTTCAATGTCAAACTCTCAACCTTGCTGAATGAAGCAACGAGAGCTTGCAAGTGCTTGGGGCTGTTTCGGTGCCTTGCATCTGGTTCATGGTTCACGGTGCGCGCGAGCTGCATTTTAGCTGCTCTTGAAGGAAACGTGTGATATCAGTATTGGCCGCACGTGAACATTCGCGGTATTGCATTTTGAAAGGCCCAAACATTCAGGAATTAAACAATCAAAATATACAACTTGTTATTTAGACGTTTCACTTAATACTTAAAACTTACATACTCTACAAATTTAACAAAGGTGTTCCTACAAATCAAGCTCTTGGAATCCTTGCTTGTGATATTGAGCTGAATCGCTTGAAGCAACCTCATTCAATATGGGAGAAGGCTGGGCCGGACGCCAAACCTAATCACCGATAAGCGCTGGTTTGAGCTTTGCTGCTTTTCGAAGGCCAAGGTGGAAGTAGTGATGCAACCGTGAAGGCTATCGTCGAGCAGATAGGCTTGATGCTATGTTGCAATGCCTCTATCGATCGATAGACATTGCTAGCTTTGAGACCAGTGCAGAGTGGTGAGATCAGTTTCTGGCTTTTCTCGGCAACCTTTCTGCATTTAATTTCACTTGGTTACCTTGCTGCAACTTCCGAAGGCTCAATCCCAGTCCGAGAGAACTTCAGATAGTGCCCGGCACTTGCGGACCAATGGAGGCGCAGCAGATGCGCCCAACATGCATTCGGCGCAGAGGCAGATTGAGGACAGAGCGCTTGGCGGCCTTGGCCCTTTTGGCTCCTTCGGTGGCACCAAGCCTTGGCAAACTTGGCTCGGCGCTTTGCAAGTCCTTAGCCTTGCCACTGAAAGAGGCCTTCGTAAGACCTATTACTATAATTTGGCAATCACTGGGTGTGGGAAGGACGGCCGTTGGCAGCTTGCTTTGGGATTAGTCTTCAGCCTTCGTGCAACCGGTCTTGCAAGTGACACTGTGACCATTGGAGCCGTGACAAATGCAGCTCAAGGGGCAGGACGGTGGATTGTATGCCTGCAGCTGCTGTCGACCATGGTGCGTGCAAACTACCAGAGTGACGCATTCACCATGAATACAATGATTGGGGGATTGGGGCGAGGTGGCAGATGGCAAATGTCTCTTCAGACGCTGCAAGAGTCAGAATTGCTGGGCATGCCATTAGAAGACATGACATACAATGCTGGCATGAATGCCTGTGAAAAATCAGCGAGGTGGGCCCACAGTCTCGACCTCTTCGAGGGAATGCATGCCAAAAGACTGCGTGCTGATGTCATCTCTTTGAGTACTTGCATCAGTGCATGCAGCAAGACCATCAGATGGAGTGAGGCAAAGCACCTTCTTGCTACTACAGCTGCATTGCAGATCCCGCTAAACTTGATTACATACAATGCAGTTATGGCCGCACTGTCTTGGGAAGCTGCTGTGAACCTTCTGGTGCTCATGAAAGGAGAGAGAATGGTACCCAACGTTATCACATATGGTGGTGCGCTTAGCTCTCAAGGAAGGCAGTGGCATCAAGCCTTAGTTCTCCTCAAAACGGTCCAGATTTGCCGACTAAAGGCAAAGGGGGTTGGGCTTCCAAGGTGGATCCAAATTTGTCCGAATGCCGAATGCACGTAACCAAAAGGAAGTTTTGCCGGGTGATTGTCAGCAAAAGGTAGCCATGGCAGCCATGAATCGGGCAAACCCTCCAGAAGCCCCAGCAAAAAAACATCATTCGATGCCCAAAGACTCAAGGCTAAATGAGTCGTTCTGTTCATTTTAGGATCCCCACTTCCGGGGATTCTAGTCCTTTGCGGTCGGAGTCGTTCGTCACGATCACCGGCCGAGCATCCACAAAGCAAACAATAGGATACGGTTGCTATGTATATATACTGTTAATTATATATGTATATTTATGTATATTTATAATAATTGATGTTGCTTGCTGGATCCGTTGTTCTTTGCAGTTCGATCATGTTAGATCAAGAGAAATGATTCACAAGCTCGTTGCAGTGGCTTCGTGCAAAAACAATTACTTTATTGCCTTCTTCTGGAGATGCACACGGCGGCACAGGCCATCAGAGCATCCTTTGGCAGAAGATTAACTTAAGACCAAGACACTGGCACCAATCAGAAACGCTTCGTGCCTCTGAAGAAAAGACACGGCTTTCAGAGTGCACGAGGAAAAGGGCACGTTAGATTTGTTGGCCTTGGTCTCCGGCCTTTAGGAAGTTGCAGTTGGGCGTCTTTGTGAGACAACTCCAGGACGAGTCATGCCCGCCAGAGAGAGAAAGAGAGAGAGAGAGAGTGTGTGTGTGTGAGAGAAAGTGTGCTGGGAGAGAGTGGTTAGTGTATGTTTGTAGAAAGCGGTCCAGAATTCTGCGCACGCGAATGTACGCGCACCCATGCAGTGCTTGGACAGTTCAGTATACAGTAGAGTAGCTTCGAGCGCTGTGCTTCCACCATCAGAGGTGGTTTCGTTCAGAGCCAGAGGTGTTGCAGCAATGCTTGTCAGATACACGCGTGTAACATATTGTTACTAGAAAAGGCTACATAATGTATGAGATCCCCAGCAGTGGCTTGTCCGTGTGCGCCAACGCCACGTATCTCGTCCTCGGATAAAGGTGACATACCTGAAGGAAGCAAGGGCTGGGACTGTGACTGGGGAGGAGAGAGTGGGGATCTGTTCAGTTGGGGAATAACCATCATACACCTGCACCCAGCCACTTTGTGTTGCAACTTAAAAAACTACTTAAAACAGTTGCAGATATTTGAAGAAGGTTCTTTGTGTGAAAGTTGAAGAGCATGTGCACTAGCATCCATTGACCCTCATTCCCGTTGGTCGTAGGGCCCGAGCCAATCCTTTCAGCTTTTGCGGTAAAAGGGTGCGCCATGACCGCGTTTGGTTGCACTGTTCCCCTTTAGTGCCCTTCATCCCATTGCACGAGGGGCCACTAGTTGGCACCGGAGCCTGATGTTCGACTTCTCGGCTTTGTCCGAGCTTGGTGACGCTGGTGAGTATCCCCAGGACCACGATGACCCTTCGCCCGCTTCCGTGACATCGGAACCTTCGTGGCGTTGTTCGAGTTGTGGGAACGACACCTTTGCTTGGACCGTTGAGGGATGGAAATGCGCTAGTTGCCACAGTGGAGACTACTACAATGCTGCTGTATCCCAGCGAAGAGAGACAGACAATGGCGTTTGGATGTATGTCCCCCGGTAATCCCAATCCCATGGTTCAGGTTCAGATCCGCCTCCGTTGGACCCTCTGCCGGACACGACGTCGAAGGCGTTCGATCATAACCGGACACGTGTTGGCCATGCTTCACCTCATGAGGGACCATACCATGAGAGCAGAGAGCAGGCTGAATCGGAGGCTCCGACAGATGACCCTGTTGTTGATCCTGAGCATGCAGGTAGCACCACGTCGAGGAGCAGCCGCAGATCCAGGAAAAGAGCCCAAAATCGAGCTATGAACATTGCAGCACGACAAGATGTTGGAGTTGGCAATGTTGATACATTGAGCAATGCAGTGCATGGTACATTGTTTGATGAACAACAGCAACAACAAAGCAATGCAGATTTGACAAGGCAGTTGGCACAGCTGGTACGCACATTGCAGCGTGCCGTTGACCAAGGTGGCAGTGGCAAAGCGTCCAAGAGCTCTGAAGGTTCGTCTTCTTGGAACTCCCAAAAGGGACCAGAAAGAGGAGTTCGATATCGTTCAGGAGCTCCACCACCTCCACCTGCCTGGAAGTATGCCAAAGATGATCTTCGCAGTTTTCCCAAGTGGCAGAGAAAGCTGGAAATCTGGAAACGTCAAATCACCAGTTTCATGAGTCGCAAGGACGCTGCACTTTTGCTTTAATTTACCACAGCTTGACTGGAGAGGCTGAAGAAGAGTTGGAACATTGTGATTTGGACAAGTTGGCATCGTCGGAAGGCATTGAGTACATTGAGCAGACATTGAAATCAGGGCTGGCAACTCGTCTCGTTTATCAGAAGCGGAAGCTGATGAGCGACTACGAAAGCATTGTTCGACAACCGTCGGAGTCGGTCAGGGCTTTTGCAAATCGGTACCGACGAGCTGAACAAGCACTGCAGAGTGTCTCTGTCGACATCCGTGGGATGTACGACGACGAATCTCGAGGCAACAGATTGCTCGAGAGAAGCAGGTTGAGCCCAGAAAACCAAAGGTTGGTATTGATCGGTTCTGCCTACAACCTTGCCTATGAGGCCATCGTTGAGAGTTTGTGCATGAGTTTTCCGGAGCACAAGTCACCACCTCAGTTGTTTGGCAAGGACGGTCAACCGATCAAAGCATGACAGAGTTTCACATCCCCATCGACTTCATCCACGACAAGTACTTCATCGAGTTCCTCAAGCTTCAAAGGCAAAGGCGAGGGCAAAGGCTTTGGCAAAGCCAAACACGCCTTTGTCACTGAGGTCGAAGACGACCAGCTGGAAGCCATTGAAGAGGAAGACGGTCCTCATGAGTCCGAAGCTGAACATGAGGTCGAGCAAGAAGATGATCAATACGATCAGCAGGAACTGGCCGATGAAGAGGCCTTACGGTGACAGCAAAGAAGTTGCAGTCGCTTAGATCCAAGTCGATTGAAGAGCGAAAGAAGACAAGTACATGCGCTGCCTGTGGACAGGTAGGTCACTGGAGTGGAGACAGCCAATGCCCAAAGAGTTCCAAAGGAAAATCTGATGGCAAAGGCAAATCCAAAGATGGCAGCAAGAGTACGCCGAAAAAGGTGTACATGAGTCTCCACCATCCTGACGGGTCCACAACCAGCCACCACCAGGAGGATGCACCGGTTCCCAACTTCTTCACCTTCGTTACATTGATGGTTCATGAGGTTTGTGTTGCAGGTACATCTTTGTATGGGAAGATGTTCATAGACACCGCTCGCCAGAGGACATGTGCGGGTTTGAACTGGTTGGACGGGTACAAAGCATTGCTACATCAGCATCAACTTCGTTGCAAGACGGTGCCGTCGGCTGAGGCTTTTCAGTTCGGCAGTGGAGCACCTATGCACCCAAAATGTTTTTGGCAGAAAGGCTGACAGCACCTCATCGGTTCCTGTTCCAGCCCCATTCACTCCAAGCAGACGTGTTCGAACAGCCAGGTCACGGACACCCACATCAGTACGAAGAACTGAAAGGACGGCCACGCTGACCGATCCTTACATGCCACCTGAGGCACTGGCAATCCAAGATCAGAGAGAGTCTTTTGACCCTTCTCAACCTTCAGCACCACATCCAGGTAATGGTGAGAGAGCGCCTAACAATGCGGCTGGGTGGCTCACACCGCATGGCCTTGATCCATCACCGCCTCAAGCGCTACCAGACCAGCCAGTTGACCTCACAGGTGATGATGATGATGGACAGCCAGACCTGTCCAGAATAGTCCCAACGACACCAGAGGGCATTGCAGACGAGCCCTTGCCTCAGCTTCCGGCCAAGCGGCCATTTGACACTTTGAAGGCAGACGTCTCTGCCCGGATGAACACTCCAGGTAGCTTCGAGCTCTATGGCTACCAGAGTGACTTTGCAAGACCTTTTCAGAATTTAGAATGCTGGGCACGGCTCGACCTTTTTGTTTCACAACCTCAACTCCCAATGTCATCAGGACCACCGATGAGCTATGTGAAATGGCGTCGCACCATTGATGCCAACGCCAATGAGCTGATCTTTGAAGGTGTCATCGACCCTGATGAGGAAGAAGAGAACAAGCTCCATTTTGGAGAACCAAGAAACATCATCACTGAGTTTTGGTTCACTCCACCATCTGAGGCAAACCACTACTACTACGGCTATGACGAGACCATTCGTGAAATTGAGCCAGGATGGGATGGTTCAGATGAAAATTACCTGCCTCCCACCAAGCGCTACTACCAGGTCTACGTCGAGCAACTAGCCTCCAGTGTTGATGACCTGCTGAGCCGCCTGTCAGATTCGGACACCGACGTTGATGACTACAAGACTGGCAAAAGGCTCACAAGGCAGGAGAAGAAGCAGATTGAAAAAGAGTTGAGTTTTCACGACATTTTGTCGCAATCAGACGAGTACATTCAGAAGTTCATTGAATCGGCACAGAAAGAGGAAACCAGCTTTCTGGAGTGGAAGTCATTGAAACCAGTTCCTCCAGAAGAGACGAAACGCATCCTCTCTGACCCCGAGCAGAAGAAGAGAGTCATTTCTTCAAGGGCTTGCTACAGGGACAAAAACAAAAATGTTCCCCCACTCAAAGCCAAAACCAGAATTGTAGCAAGGGGCAATCAAGATCCTGACTTGCAAAGCCTAACACGACAAGCACCAACGCCAACCCGTGTCAGCGAGATGATGACCTTCCTCATCTTCCTTTCAGGATTGCACTCCAAGGCCTTCCGGAGTGACAAGGTTTGGAAGTTGTGGGCTGGGGACGCATCCACGGCGTTCTTGCAAGGCCAGCAGGACTTGAGCGAGAGGGCAGGCAAGCTTTACCTCAAAGCACCACGAGATCCCTTGCTGATCAGAGCTGGTGTTTTCAAGAGCGAGCTGTATGAGATACTGGGAAATGTGTACGGCCTCAGCAACGCACCGTACACCTGGGCACAGGAAGTCACCAAGAGGTTGGTCAATCTGGGATTCATCGTTCACAGTTTTGATCGTATGATGTTTTGGTATCCTGACCCAGACAATGCACCATGCCCAGCTGCAGTTCTCATTTGCTACGTTGATGATTTCCTCATCACCTTCAACACCTCCTTCCCATTCCAACAGTTTGTTGACTCCTTCAAGTGGGGCTCGCAACAGTTTTTGGAACAAGGTCCACCGTTGGTTTTCAAGGGCAAAGAAATCCACCTGGAACAGACTGGCGACGTCCAGACCCTCAGGATTGTCCAAGAGACCTTCATCACCAACCTTGAGATGGGACAGGTTGGAAAGAAGCAGAACAAGGCCGAAGTTCTTGCCAGCCATGTTTGGCCGGAATTCAGGTCCATCAGCGGTTGCCTACAGTGGCTGTCAGGCCAGACACGTTTGGATATTTCATCAGCAGTTTCATTGTCCAATCGAGGACAGGAGACGACCTATGCTGACCTTGACTGTTTGTACAAGACGCTGCAACATGTTAAGGATACATCCAAGCTTGGCATCCGGCTGTATCCAGTACCGATCGATGAGAGCACGGTCGTGATGGCGTACTCCGACGCCAGTTGGGCGAACGCTCAGGGGAGCGCAAGTCAGCATGGACAGATCATCTTGCTGGCGCCAGCGACTGTGACAGAGAAGCCATGCTATGGTGGGCTCATTGACTGGAAAAGCTCTCGCAGCAAGCGAGTATGTCGTTCGACGTTAGCTGCAGAGGCCGTATCGGCCGACAGTGCTGCCGATCGCTTGGCATACGTGCAGTATGCGCTGGGAGAGTTGGTCTTTGGAGTTGCTGCCCACCGAGTGGGCCCTCGCCTTCGAGCTTTGTTGGCAACTGACTGCAAGTCGCTGTATGACAGCGTATCCAGCCCGAACCCGACAGTTGAAGACAAACGCAGTCTGGTCAACATTCGCTCCATCCAGGAAGTGGTAAGTCGCAATACCATTCACTGGATCCCGACGGCCTTGCAGATGGCCGATTCCTTGACGAAAGTGTCCTCAGACCTCAGGGACACTTTGTTGAGCTGGCTTCAAAAGCCGATCATCCACCTCCGAGAATGCGGGTCAAAAGAAAATACCCCCAGTGTGAAAGTTGAAGAGCATGTGCACTAGCATCCATTGACCCTCATTCCCGTTGGTCGTAGGGCCCGAGCCAATCCTTTCAGCTTTTGCGGTAAAAGGGTGCGCCATGACCGCGTTTGGTTGCACTGTTCCCCTTTAGTGCCCTTCATCCCATTGCACGAGGGGCCACTAGACTTTGATCATCGCTGAGCCACTTGCTTTGATAGACATGAGCACTACAAAGCAGTCGCACATTGCTCAAACTATGCTATTGCTGGGGAAAACTTGTTTCTTTGTAAAGATAACTTTGATTGTTTATGCCATGCGAACCATTTTTTCATGGGACTGCACTAGACCTGATGTGAGACGTCGTCCCTTCAATGCAGCATGCCATGCAGTTTCGCAAGCTGATGTGACTTAAATACCTGGCGCTTGTAGACGCCACTTCAAGACCCTGTACAGCTGGATGTTTCACATTGACTGTGAAGGGATCCTAGCTACTTTTGTCGTAAAACAGCTTGGCTGGGACCGGGATAGATCGAACATCCAAGTGTTTTTTTGCCTTGTAGGTTTGGCCTTTCCGTGGGAAGCTTGTGCAACAACAAAACACATTCAACCTGATGTAGACAGAGCAGCTGGGCCTGGAACTTGTGCGCTATGGATGGCAGCAAGTACCCGTTTGGGAGACTCCTCGTCCCATAAGTATAGCGAGTACTGGAGTTCGTCAGGGGCAGGCAGTTGTCCTCGCTACCCTTGAACTGTCTTAAGCTCTTCAGGAGGACTCTGCGGAGATCTACAGCGCAGTGGCGAAGTCTCTTTCTTTATATCGCCCGGTTCTACATCACCTTCCCTAGGATAAGTGGCTGGTGAATTTTAGAGCGCACGTGCACGCAGCAAGCTGAGTGTTGAGCTGGCGATTGAGAGGTGTTGTGAATTTAGCATATTTAGCCGGGTTTGGGGGGATCTAAGAGTGGAGCCAGCTCACTGCTAAGGTAGCTGAGGCTTGACCTAGCAAAGTCTCGAGCCCTATATACAGTCATTTTCCTATTGAATCTAGGCTAATGCAAGGCAGGGGAGGTCATTGTCAAGTAACGGACAAAGTGGGATATGATGGAATATGTTGCAGTGGGCTAAAAAGGCCCGTGAATGTTTGCAAAGATGTTGTTCGGCAGGCCAATTGCATCGCATACAATGCGGCCATGAGCGCTTGTGAGAAGGCAGGCCAGTGGCCATTCGCCCTGGAGTTGTTCGGGGAAGTCTCCAGCCTTCGGGTTCAGCTGGACATTTGCACATGTGGGGCTGCAATCAGTGCCTGTGAGAAGGGGGAGAGGTGGGAAAAGGCAATTTTTATCCTTCAGCGCGAATCCTTAATGAAGAGCAGCCTTATTGGATACAATGCGGCCATTAGTGCTTGCGGGAACAAGCGGCAGTGGGCGCAATCCTTCCACCTGTTTCTGGAAGTGCAAGATATTGTCCCACGTTTGAGCGAGGTCACTTTCAGCGCAATGATTTCTGCACTGGATGTGGGACACCCGTCAAACCTGTGGGAGTTGTGCCTTTGGATCCTTCACATGTCCGGGCAAAGTATGTCGATCAATCTCATTACGTACAATACGGCTCTCACTGCTTGCGCAAATGCTGGCAAGTGGAGGGAGGCCTTGCAACTGCTCTCTGACATGGCTAAGGTTCGAGTGCACTTTGACGAGGCCAATGGTTTTCAACATGGATGTGGTGAGGAGTGTTCAATGCTTAAGACTTCTCCTGCCGTTGGTTCAAGAGTGCTTAACTCCAACTTACATAACAAACTGAGTCACAGATATCCATTGACTCATTGCTTTCACAATCCTTGCGCATTCGAAACCTGAGGTGACCTTCGATTCCACACTTCGAAGCTGCATCACGGGCAATCGTGCAGCAGAAGCAAGAGAGTTCATCAACCTGTTGAGGACATTTGCCCTGGCTACATTTGAGCCAAGGGATCGGAGATTATAGCAGAAATGTGCAGAAATAGACTTGCTTCACCAGTGACCTCAGAATTCCAAGCTGAGGGCCGGGGCATGCCAGAGCTCTGCGAAGCTCCTTAAGTTAAGTGAACCTTGTTGAACCCTTCAGCGCCAATACTGTCGCAATTTGAAGGTATGCACAAAAGGAGGAAGCCGAGGAAGCTGTAGAACAAACATGTCGCGAGGGTAGTGAAGCAGCGAACAGCAGCGAATATAGATGAGGGGAGTCAAAGGACTCCAACAGTTTCTACCCTCCCTCCAGGCCGCCTTGCACCTGATCAACTGGACCAAGTGAGGAAAGCTGTGCTCTTCGGGAGCAGTGCCAATCTGAAGGCGTGGTCCTTTGATTTTTGGTTGAGCCACCGTGGTGAACATGCGTCCCCAAACCACCGCCGATCTTTAAAGGACTTGGATCGATCTGCTTTCATCATGCCTGGATCTTGGGATCGAAACGCCAAACCCGCTGCCACTTGCCCTGTGCAATGGAGACATTTGTGAGTGTCGCCCGTAGCTCCAAGGAATCGGCCCAGCTCGCCGAGGGGACGGCGAGAGGGCTCTCCGAAGGACTCAAACATGAGAGAAGCTCGTCATGGCAGGTTCTATATAATAAGTTGTTTATAGCTTCTGATGCACTGGAGCATGTTTAAATCAAGAACCTTCCGGCGACATCAAGTCACGGTCAAAATAAAGGGTGGATCACTTTAATTTATAACTGAGATGGTGCACCAAAGCCATGTAAATTGACCGGGCCCCCCACTTGCGACAGTCCATTTATCTTGGCGTGTGCGCAAACCAACCAAATATTGTGTGCATTTGTGTGCACACTCACGCAAGGGCTACCAGTGTTTCCTGCAGTTGTCATATCAATTGTATTCAATTGTCGTCCAAGGTGATTAGACCGTTCTACAGCGATAACCTTAATTAGGATAAACATTTGTTGCACGACCCTGGCCAAGGGATAGTATAATGAAAATGTATACTGTATAATTGATTAGACACCCACAAACCTAGATATAGAATGACATAGACAGCACCTGAAGAGAGACGTCCTCCATCCTTGTTCCAGCCTGTTCGAAATGGATTTCAGTCATGTTCAATCTAAAGCAGGTTGACCTCGACAAATCCATGTAAAGCGATAGGGCTCCCCGGGCTCCCCCAAACAACCATTAACATTGACATTTGCATGAGTCCGACACATGGCCTTGGCCGCAACTGGGGGGCAAGCGCCCAAAACAGGAGAGATCTCCATGTAATCGGCATCGCGCACCATCACCATCAGATGGGTACCCGCAACTTGCCAGTTGGCCATTGTGTACTTCAACGTCCCGTTTACACATGTTTATAATTACAAGATGTTACAAGGGATTGAGGCTTTGATTAATGGGAATTCTAAGGATGGATGATGCAGGCCTTGCTGCTTGTTTTGGCACAATTGGACACTTGATGTGCACAAAGTGAATCAAGACCGCTTTCATTTTTCTACGTTGCCGTGACATGCTACGACAGGGCATGGTGATGCTCCAAGCCGTCAATCGAGTCGGAGGCTGAAGTATCTCGACTTGATATAATTGGATTATGACTTGATAAGGCGGGAGACTCGGGGGACCACTAAGAATCAGAAGCACCACCTAAGGCGAACCTCAAGCGACACAAATCATCCCATCGATGCTCTACTCCGCGAGAAGGGAAACAATTCTGAGCGCTATTTGGTGGTTGTGTCTTCCCTTTCCTTGGATTGGAAGGACCCAACCTAAACGGATTTAAATATCATGCGTCAATGACAAGCCTAATCATAAAGAGCGTTGGGCCAATGACTTAGACTAGGGATGTCATGGGTTAAGGGAGACTGTTCCAAAAGTTTGATGACTATAGTCCTGAAATTGTTTGAATTTAGCAGGCGGTTGGAGGCCATCGCTTGTAGATTGGAGGCCATCGCTTCTAGATTGGATTAGGTTCAGTTTGCGATTTGGGCTGATAGACCCGACAGGAGTTGATCAAGATTCCGGGCGTGAGCAACTACGAGCTCCGACTCCTTTGGCATTTATTCTTCTTGAGATCTCGCAAGATGCGTGTTGTGGCTCGGATCCATGCATTGCATGCCAAGCGATGCGGAATCGTGTAAAAGGACCATCCTGAAAGGGAGTAACAATATTGCCTTCACATATGTACATATACTTTGGCTAACAAATTGTAACAAAAAGCTGATGCTAAGGTTATGTGCACATCACAGTACATTCCTGATTCTTGGCAGACCCAGACCCACCGCGGAAGCAACAAACGGACACGAAGCATGAAGAACATGTTGGTTGATTCAGGAAACCCTGATCAGATACTATTTGAGCTACTTGCCTGGTGACGTGTCAGTGGATGATGCAAGAAGCAGATTGACCACCATTTGCTGCAACGAATCCTTGGCTGCAGTCTTCTTCGCGATGCGATCCAGCACATGACCCAATCCTAACATGATGATGTTAGGATGCGCACTTTGGTTCTAAGGACATGACAGCAGGGAGTGTCACCAAGAAATTGCTTGAACGACCTCGTGCACTGGAGCGCATAAAAAGCTGTATCGATCAGGAGAAGGCTGCGATGACATGCTTCAATTCCACTGCAGCCTGTCAAAAGGAACAACTGTTTTGTGTCCGCTCTTACTTAATTAAGTAAGGGCTAGGTAACTAAGTAGATATGCTACTAGCAAGCTTACTAGTAACTGGACACAGGATAGCTCACACTTCTTCAAAGAAGCTTTCTTAGTCTGAGAGGGGGCGGGGAGCTTCCTTGAAGAAGCTCTCGCACTATTCATGTGGTTCCTAGATTGTTCGGGGAACTTATATACTTTGATGCCAACTCTCACTGCTTCACTTGTGGCGATCAGAGTTGTAAGCTTTGTAGAGTGATTGGTTCATGTCTCGATGCCTTGCATCACAGCCTGGATAAGGATGCGGAGGTTGAACTGGCAGCTTGGAGGCAGCAAAGGAGCTAGTTAGTTCATAGAATTCATTGCAAATGAATGAATGAAGGAATGAATTATTGTGATGGTGTATATGATTGCATATAGTAATACAGAGTTGAATTAAAGGAGGCAACTCAGGTCGGAGTCACTTTTGAAGTGTGTTTGAAGTGTGTTCACGGGAATTGAACATGTCAATTCAATTATATAATCAGACATGCATAATTGCAAAGAGGACTCCTGCTCCTTGTTGCAAGAACTCTCTACGTGCTGCTTTTAGTTATGGGGTTTTGGCCCTCGGGTATTTGTAAGAAGCCCCGACGCAGAGGGCGGCTTGGGGGACAGCCATTCCCTTTTAAAATCATTATAAACTAATATAGCGTGTATATATATATATATATTCCGGAAATGGCGATGGATATATATAATATATATATTCTATGTCGCAAGTCGCACATTAACATATGATTTGGGGCAGTTTAGGGTTGGGGAACAGCTCCACAAGACCTGAGAAAGAACTTGTTGTCTCAAAAGCTTTCAGACTCTCAGGCGAATCAGCTTGGCATCCCTCTTTTTGGTACAGACACACAGGGAGCCTTCTGGGGAACCAAGACGGGCAACCGCCAGGTTTTCCGCGTTCCTCGGCATGACTTTGGTTGTCCAGAATGCATCACCAGCAGCACTTTTCATCGTTTTGCGGTTCTTGTGGTGCGTTGAACCTTTTGAAATGCTTAGTTATGCCTATGCGTGCGTAGTTGTTTTAGGAGATTGTTTGGATCGCAGGATGCAGGCGTTTCGCACCCAGATGGCAGCTACAAAGAAATCTTTACTGAAGACGAACTAGCAGAGGAGTCTCTCAGAGGTCCTATGTATATCGGCTGTGCAGAGGAACCAAAGGTTAGTTGATTAGATGCGCAGGAGATCCTGGCCCTGCTGAAGCGATGTCCTTGGGCTCGAAAGGCCTGGAAGGACCCGGAGGACTGAAAAAATAGAAACATAATTTTGCCCGTGGCCCTACCTCCATACTTAATTAACTAGGCGCTTACTTAATCAAGTAAGGGAGTAGTTCACTACTAGCTACTGGAGCTTACTACATACTGTATGGACGCAGGATAGCTCATGCTTTTTCAAGGAAGTTCCCCCCCGCCGCCCAACCTTGAAAATTGAAGAAGCACTCGCACTAATGATTTGGTTCCTAGATGTGTTGCGCCACTCGGAAAGATTGTCAATCTATATAGGGCTTCCCAACATGAGACAATCATGGTCCTGCGAAAAGAGCATTGACTATGTCCACCCAAAAGCACGTGATTTGCTATGGCAGAGGTAATGGTGAAGCTCAATGACTCATTCAGCGGGGAGGGCAACTCTGTCCTTCGGATAGACGACCAGTTAGCAGATGCCATCAAGGACGACCGTTGTGCAGGGCATGAAGTGAAGCCACCTAAAGTTTGAAGTTTGTTCATTCAAGACCTCTTGCATTTCGCCAGCTGGATGAGACTTTGCTGGCAGGAGAGCGATGAGAAGGCCTTGCAGGTGATTTTGGAGAAGCTGCACAACTCCCTCGAGTACGTTGCACCAGGTTTCTATTAGAATGACTGCGGGCCTGAAATGTTGGATAAATTCGGTAGACTTCCCCCTCGTCCGATGAGAGCACAGGATAAATGAGGCAACTGATGCCAACTGATACTTCACCGTCCTGCGATTCTTGAGAACTGCGGCACAGAATAGATTGAAACGCTAATATGGCTCCCTGGGGCCTGGCCAGGTTTCAACTGGGCCAGATATTATCCTCAATTTCAAAACCTTGGCGGAGTTTGCGAAGTCTTCATTGAAGGATGCTGATGCCTTGTCTAGCTATGTATCACCGCAGCACCACCTTGGATTTGCCAATTTGCGTGCATTTGTCACACCATAGTTGCACAAAAAAGTCAAACATGCTATTAGAAAATGTAAACTCCAGGAAGGCTGCCTCAAAAAGGCATAAAAGCTATTTTTGCCATATCTCAGAAAATGGCTGCCTTGATATGAGCAAGAACTTTGTCGCTAGAGGATCCGCTGAAGCAAAGACTTCACCGTCGTGCCAAGCCTTTATCAGCTCCAATGGAGATGTCAGGAGCGAGTTCACCCAAGGTTTAGTGAAGCTACTAGTAGCAAAGGGCATCGCTACTAGGAGCAAGGACGCTACTATATGGGGCTCCTGGCCGTACTACTAGGAGCAAGAAGCTACTAGGAGCAAGGGCATCGCCAGTAGTAGGTTATGTTGGACTTTGTCGGCGCAGGATACTGGCAACGCACGAGCAGATGCTCAATGGACAAATCTACACTGGCTGCAAATTTCCAGCCAATGAAGCCTACGCTAAAGATTTGACGGCTCTATCCCAGAAGATTGCTGAGGCCTGGCAAGCTAGATTATGGTGTGGGTGAGTTTGAGCTTCTATTAACACAGTTCGCCACTGCCCAGGAGTTGAGCAAACGCCAAGTCGTTGGCTACATAGCTGTTGACTTTGTGTCGGTTCGACAAGAAGATGGGAGCTATCAGCAGCCCTGAGCTGCACAATGATCAAACAAAATTATTATTCTATCTATATATACACATTCAATAGCTCACCACCTCGTGAGATGTTCACTCACTCATCTGGACTACGCCAAGGCATTGGGCAATTGAAGTCAATGTGCGGATGGGTGGCACCACCTTGCCAATCATGACACTGACTCCTGGCACCATGTGAAGCATCGGAAAGAACAACCACGTACTGAAGAGAAGAGCTTCCTAAGAGCTTCGCGAATGTGGAACTTGCTTCTCAAAACATCTCAAAAGGAACAAGAAGCTACTAGCCGCTCCTGGCCGTACTACTAGGAGCAAGGACGCTACTAGGAACCCCAAAACTGCGCATCAAGGAACTTGCTTTGTGGACACGGTGCCTTCGATCCCAGCACGTCTCAATTCATCGGTACTGATGGCGAGCCCAGGCTTGGCGTGGACTACTTGTGAACTTGTGAATGAGAATGTGTAATTTGTTCTATGTCTATGCCAGTCTATGCATTATGATACAATTTTATTTGACTCTTGAACAGCCCGAAGTCTGAATGATTCAAGGTATTACATCGCCTCTGACACCTTGAGATGCTTGCATTAAAGAATCATACAGTATCGTATCACCAGATCTTCCTGAATTAGATTTCTGGCAGCTATTGAACATTTGCACTCGAACCCGTTGAAGCCAAGGAAAACCCAGCTACAAAGGCTTGGTGATAGAGGATTTGCTGGACATCATCAAGCGACCCTGGCTCAGCACATTGGTGTCACTCCAAGCCATTCACCCGGAAGACTTGGGTGTGCAATTGCCAATTATTTATTCCTGAGGATACTCGAAGGAGATTGAGTGGAACAAGAGACCAGATGCACCTGAAACAGGTGCAACAAGAAGTCACCATTGCACAAGGATTTCTCTAATTAGGTGCTGCAGTGCTAGCAACACGTTGCTGACCGATGATACTAGTAGCTGCTTCTGTTTGTCAGGTGCCATTTTTCACCTGGTTACACTGCTCTCAGAGCTGGGCAAGTGTGGCCTCATGTGTGTGGGCCGCTCGAGGGAGGAAGCTGAGCAATTGTTCCACCGGGTTCAGGAGCAGAGTTGTCAGTGCTAGTAGACTCAAGTCAGGAAGAGAAAAGAAAGGCTGTTTGAGCTCCTCAAATAAAGGCCCTTTAAAGTTGAATTTCCCGTAATGAAATTATGTATTAGTGATGCTTTATTTAAAATTTGTTGATTATGTAATTATTTGCTGCAACTAACTACCTCTTCGGAAAAGAAACTTTTGAAAAAGGATTCAACAATTGGGAGGTTTTCCAGTTCGAAGTCATTGGCAAACAATTGTAGCACGACAGGCAGTTTTGCGTCGCGCAATTTGCAGGAAATCCTGGACCAAGAATGTGAGGCCTGGAATCTTGGGCAATTCAGCGTTTGATTCCTGTTTTGATCATTGAGCTTTACACCAGATGAGAATTTACAGGCTCCCCCTTGCCAGCAGACAGCAGGTTAGGATGCTGCATGTGTCCAAGGCCAGCCACAGGAAAGGAATATTTGCTGAGGTGACTGAAGCTGAACTCAGTTTGGTCATCGAGGGGGACAGCTCGGATATGCTCAGCTGACCCGCAACCATACGAGTGACGTGTAGATAGCAGCGGTGGCGCTGAAAGCGGGCCGTACCCAAGCAATGCGCGGTTTAGTTATGGTTTTCCTCAGTACTGTCGCAGAAGAATCTTGACCAAGTTGGAGTTTGGTGCATGAACATTTTGAGAGAGCGCTTTGCATTGGCCAGTCAATTTTGAAGGAGTCGTTGCCTGAAACTAGTTGTGTCCGTGACACACAGACACATGGAACTGGCCTTTCCACGACTGTTTGACTCGCTTAGCAGAGTGCTTTCAGAAGCAGAAAGGTGGAACATGGTGGGAATCAGATGGATGTGAATCCAAAGTCCAAAGTAGCTTTTAGCTTCAACATGGCCCCTGAGAACCTGCTGCACACACAGACCCAAGACTTATTGACCCACAACCAGAACCTAGTTTGGCAAAGCTATTGCTTAGGCTGTGCAGTATTGCAATACTGTGCCTCAGCAGAGTCATTTCTTGTGCTGCTGGCTGGTGACTACCAAGCTGCGAGACATCGTGATCAGTTTGTGATCACATGGTTTGAAGCTTCCAAGCTAGGCTGAAAGATCACAGGACCCGAGAGTCAGGACAAATATGCTTACTGTAAGCTATATTGTTCACAGTTTGTGTGGGCCTTGCCACTGCTTCAAACCACATTGTATTCTTTAGTGTCATCAGTGAGAGCGGAAGTGAGTGCAGTGTAACAACAGACAGTATTGAAATTCAAGGACGTTCTAGGCCAGCCACTCCGCCACGTGCTCAGCATAAATCAGCATAAAGAGATGTAAAGTGGGGCGAATGCCTGTCCTTTGTGGGCATCATGTGGACGGCAGAGGCTGCTTTACAAGCTTTGCGCAACATAGCTCGCAATAGAAGTCGATGAAGTTCAAGAGTTCAAAATTCAATATGTATCAAAATGTGAGCATGTTTATCATGTATTATGTATCATGTTTTGAAGGGTCGGTTAGAACAACTGGGGCCGGGGTTGTATGGACGTGTGACGTGTGATGACGTGTAAATGAAGCTTGCTGTGGAGCCGGCCTCGAAGGCACTGAATATCCATCTCCCAGCTCACATCCAATGTCCAGGGCATCCGGGATCGCATAAAGTCTGCCGGAGAACATGAGATTAGCACGGGTGGTTGGCCCCATTTGGAAGCTTTTGACACTTTTGTTTCAGATCCTTTCGGTGTTGCTAGGACTCTAGGACATGCATCTAAGTCTAAGAGAGAGGTGAGGAAGTCCGAAGAAGCGGTTCATACAGGAACTACAGGTGGTTATATACATGATTTGACCATTGAGCTGTGAGCCCCTGAAGTTAGTTGCTTAAACGGCTGTTGTTTTGTTGGGGCTGATGTTGAAGTAAGACGATGAATCTCAAAGCTGCTGGTGTTGATCATTCTGACCAAGGATTCACAGATCCAAGGTTCGGCTCGAGATCGCTTTGACAGCAAGGCCGCGTCTCCGGCATCCCGCTCAATACTCCGCCAGGAGCCCCTAGTAGCGTCCTTGCTCCTACTAGCAATGGCCTAGCGTCCTTGCTCCTAGTAGCGGTGCCCTTTGTTCCTAGTAGCTTCTTGCTCCTAGCAGTAAGGCCAGGATATATAGGCAAATATAGTTCCTTTCATTCAATTGTTTCCTTTCTTACTTCTCTCAAGCCACTGTTCATCGCCTCAATCATGTTACTCGTCATCTCATCAATCAATATGTTGCATCATCAGCATTCCTGTTAATCCCTATTCTGGGCCTCACCTCAAGGCTCCTTTGCATCCTTTGTTGCCATGCTGTGCATGCTCTCTCGTAACCCTTCGTCCCATCACAGCACGCTGCACTTCTGATTTTGAGTCATGCATTTGCAAGCCAAGATCTGCAATGATCCGCAATCATTGCACTTTACGCCCTGCACGAGAACTACTTGGCTACTCTGTTTAAACCTTGCAACAAGGATGCGCGCCATGTCCCTAGTGGATGGAGCTTCCCGTGTGCTCGCACCACAGTACTTGGGAAAACAAGTTTTGGACTGTGAGATGATCTTGCACGTCACTCGCTTGCGTGTGGATATTTCCAGACGCTGGCTTTGTGTTTTTCTGTGGCCAGAAGTTCCGACCCAACGAGCGGCACAAATCAAGTTGTGTTGTTGCAGGTGTTGGATCTGGAAATGGATCAATGTACCCAACGGTTGAACACGATCCAGAGCACCACAGAAGTGGCCTCGGCAGTGGTAGCAGCTCTTGCAGACGCAGGAGCCTGGACATTCATTCCGAAGACAAAAAGTATCACCACCTTTTTTCAGTCGGCTTGTGCATTGGAAGGATCCAGACTGCAACACTGCGCGACTGCCTCCCGCAAGCTGAAACCTGACCCTTGGCACCGGGATAATTTGCGCTGCATTAGTTTAGATGTTGTATACATATATTAATATATGTGCATATATAGCAACATTGCTTTGTCCGGGGTGCTTCTGTATCGAGTGCCATGTCCATTATTAATCTGCAGTGAAGCTTTTGTAAACTTCAAAGGGCAATGATGTTCTTCATCATGGCATTTAGTTAGCATGCGCACCTTCTGAAGACAGACAGGAGGGTGCTTCGTTGGAAGAATGCCTAAAGCACGATGATGAGTCCATGGCCGCCGCTTCGCACTCCTTTCTGGACTGTTTGGGCAGTATTGCCACACTTTTCTGTGCAATGTGGCTGGAATATGCTGGAATTGGATCATGTTTGTATGCCTCATGCCTTTGCACGTTTCAATGTCACCCAATCCAACACTCTTGACTCGAGTGCACGCACTTTCCGCGGCCACTGCCATCAATCGAAGCCGCCTTTCCTTTTGCAAGAGGATGCTTGTGGCAGCTTGGGTGCTGTTCTCATTGGGATGGCCTCCGCCATCAGCCAGAATGTCATGCTTCCACTGGCAGCTGGGCCAGCAACACCTTTGGGCGGCATATTTGGATTGAAGACATGACAATATAATCGACATAAGTTGATCAAAGACGTGGCATGGCATGTGGACTAGAGCCAAGGAATCTTTTCATCGACATGCGTTTGCAGATCATACGAGGCACATCCATGCTGCGTTGTTCCATGTTCATTGTGTTTTGACCGATGTACACAATACACTGTACGCGCAGCTCTTGATGTTTAGGAAGTGTGGGAGGCCTTTGTGTGCCCAGCACTGTTATACTGCATGTGCTTTGTTTTGTTTTGTGGGTAAGATTGTGGGCAGTGAACACGGATGACTGTTGTTTGGACACTGCGTGCGAAGTGAGAATGGAATTTTCAGTACTTTTAGCACCAATTGTATTATATACTGACTCAGTGGCTGTCAGTCAGCGCTTTATTGTATTTAACTATTAATTTAACTATATAAGTAGCAGCCGCAAAGGGGAAGCGTTGACAAGAGACAGGAAAGCTGCTTTGCTCGATGAGCTGCGCAGAAAAGAACTGGGCTGCTCCAATGCGGTCACAGAATCCTTGCAGAAGCGTGATCGTGCACGCCTAGGGCTTCAGAGTGCCATGAGGGACCAGGACTGTGATGGTGGAAACTGGACTGAACCACGAAAAATGACTGTCACACGCGTCAGTCCGAAAGTTCATTTGCGATTTCGATACAGCAAATGCATGGGCCCAATAATTTAAGCATAATATAATATGTATAAGAGTGCCCGACAAAATTACTAGAAGTAATTAAGCAGTAGTCTTCGGCTGGACATTGTTTTTCGAAAAAGTGACCCATAGGGGCCCACCCAAAACTGATACCCTCTAACATGGGTGATACATACTAATTATGTATGTTTGAGAAGGTAGTGACTTTGCATGTCTTGGGGACTTGAGTGGGGCTTCACTGATCCCCCTTACCGATACCCGACCGATATCCTATTCTTCAGTTCTGGTGGCCCAGGTAGGCAACCCCCCACTTGAACGCCGGCCTTTTTGGCATCTATTTTTTGATAGTTTGTGGCAAACTGCGGCCGCGCAACATCCTCTTTCTCCTCTACCACTACTACTGCTCCTGCTCGGGCTACCACTTGTACTACCACTACTACTACCGTTACTACCACTACCCACCAGCACTACGACTACCATTGCTACCACTACTTATTCTACTACTACATTTTCTACTACACTCTACTACTACTACTACTACTGCTACTACGGCTTCTACTATCTACTACAACTACTACTACTACCACCACCACCACCACTACTACTACTACTACGACGGCTTAATATCTACTAGTACTACTGCTACTTGTTTTACTACTACTACTACTACTACAACGGCTTCTACTATCTACTACAAGTACTACTACTACGACGGCTTAATATCTACTAGTACTACTGCTACTTGTTTTATTACTACTACTACTACTACTACTACGACGGCTTAATCACGAAAGGTAGCCCTTTAGGGGATACCTTGAGTTTGTCTTGCGAAGCAAGTGTTGGGACGTCCGGGTCTAATAATTGATCGCTCAATTCAGACGCCCCCCCCCCCCCTCGAATTGATTTTTCAATCCAGACCCCCCCCTGTGTTTAGTAGTGTCCTAGGTCCCCCTGGGCGTGTCTACGCTATACGTGTGTAGCACCTGTTCTTGTACATACATCTATCTGTAGCTCTTCAGTCCGCTTTCGACATAGTTCATTTGGCTCAAGACTCAGCAGCCCAATACTGCATTCACTGCCATAGAAAAGGTGTGCTTCGCCGCAGCTCGCACACCGACCGCTTGTGTTTGACTGCTTGGTGTTTCGATCAGGTCCAGTTATTCCAACTGCCACTTCTGGGGGAACTTACCCCTCAAAGTGGTAGCGGAGCTTGTGTCTCCTGCTTCGCATTGGTCGATTTTGCCTTCGAGCCGAATCGTCCGATATTCCGGACAGGGGACAACCAAGTCAGTCACTTGTCAACCAAATAGACCATGGTCCAGATCTTTAACATAGATACGGACGAAGAGCATGACAGCGACCTATCTGACGTAACAGGATCCAGAAGAAGCTTTTGCAGCTCAAGGTTCGCGTCATCGCCAACAGCATGGAAGGTCCTCGAGTTCGACATACCGGACGTACGAGGCACAGCCATCGGCAGGTGTCAAGATGACGCCAAAGATTCCTCCGTCATTCGATGGACAGTCATCTTGGTTTGAGTTTGAAGATTTGATTGATGACTGGGTGAACATCACCACATTAAGCGCCGAAAAATTAGGCCCATCATTGAAGAACGCTCTAACCGGAAACGCCGAATACTACAAGAAAATGCTCGACAATGAACAGCTTCGTCATGAAAGAAACGGTATTACGTATTTCAAAGAGACGTTGCGACCATACTTTGTCAAGGGAGCAAATCATGTTTTTCTCTGGCGTTTCATGCAGCTCTTCAGGACCTGGCGCGGAAACGGGGAATTTGTAAGCTGGATCGCTCGTTTTGAAGTCGCTAGCAAGAAAGTCATGGAAGCCTTCATGTGCTTGTTAGATCTTTCGACTGTTCCACAGCCTGATGATTTCAACTTTACTGATATCCTCTCGCAACAGCAGTACTTGCTACTTCAAGGGCTTCAAGATCCCGCAGAAAGAAGAGAGAACGCAGAAAGAATCCGTTCTGAACACATTGATGCTTTGAAACAAGCACATCGTGACACCTTTCCATTGTCTGACAACCTGATGTCACTTATTTTCTTAGTTCAGTCGGATCTCAATGAACAGCAAAGAGAAAGGTTTGTAGCCAGCATGGCCTTGCGTCAGATCAACATGAACAACTACACATACTTAGGTGTCAAAGGCTTATTCCTTGATCTCTTTTGCGGAACCGCCACAGGAACCGCCGATCCTTCGATCCGCAGGCAAAGAAGATCCACTTTCCTTGTCCTCGATGAAGGAGACTTGGAAGAAGAATCCGGATACTGGGTGATGGATCAAGAAACAGGCGAAGAAGGATTTGTGAGTTTGTTCTCAGAGTCCGAATTTTGGGTGTTAGCAGCCAAAGGAGGATACACCCGTAGAAGAATCCATGGAAGAAGATTCAGAAAACCATCCAAAGGCGGCAAGGGAAAAGGCCGCGGAAAAGGCAGAAGACCCGGCTTTGTCAGCCGTAGAGGCAAAGGTGCAGGGGCACATTATGCAGAGTACCCTGACAACTCAGGTTTCTATGGAAAAGGCAAGAAAGGAAAGAAAGGTGGAAAGAAAGGATTCAAGGGAAAAGATGCATTCAAAGGCAAAGGAAAAAGCAAGCAACAGAATCCTTTTCAACAATCCAATGTTGCAACCACCGAAGAGCCTTCATCAGCTCAACCATCCACTAATGCCGAAGAAACCTGGAGTGCACATGAAGCAAATTGGTCATGGGACTCGTACGGATATCACACAGACCGGTACTATCCTGAAGATGTCTGGCAGGCAAATGAAGCCACTTGGCAACAATGGACATACTTTGCCGACGGACAGACGGACAGACCGCAAGATGAAGAGCACCATAGCTCAGAACCAAGGCCTGGCCAGATGAACCAGTCAGCAGATTTCCGGTATTACGGAACACATGCAGAAGAAACGACTGGTGCAGAACATGTTTCACAGCCGTATCACCTAAACCCTGCCGGTAGCAGTACAGACTACCGACATTCCGGTTGTTCTGAAGTGATTGATCCCCGCTTCTGTTCTTCATTTGTCAATTTTGACGATGGATTTCACCATGCTTTGCTTTCTGAATACATCGACTTGAGGTACAGTCCGACCTACGTGATCATTGACAGCGGCTGTACCAGAGCAATGGGTTCGCCATCATGCGTCTAGTGAAGGCATGTAAGAGACACTACAATGCATCTAAGATTGATTTCTCCTTTGAGCCTTCATCAAGTCGATTCTCATTTGCGAACGGGGAACAGTCCAATGTCCGAGAGAAGCTGGTAATCTACTTTCAGAACGACCAGTCACCCACAGGGTGGATCACAACAGCGATAGATATCTTAGACCAAGGCGACGTTCCAATCCTTTTCAGCGTTGAGCAGCTCAGGAACCTTCGCATGTCTATTGAGCATACTCCAGTCGGTGACTATCTGACTTGTCCTTTGTTCGGTCTGAAGCGATTTTCGCTGCCAGTGAGCACTTCGAATCATAATGTCCTAGAAATCATGATGTTTGCCAGCTCAGTTCGTAAGCCGAACCACAGTTTTACTGCAATCAATCCTTCGTATGGAGCCTGTCCTGCCTGCAATGGAAAGCATCGCAAGCACACATACAAGGATGGATGCAAAAAGGCAGAGACATCCGAAGTGAAGGAAGACAAGTCAGCAGCCGATATTCCGGCTAAGAAGCCAGATAAACACATTGCAAGTGGAGATGCCAAAGTCGATCCGCCATCGAAGCTCATTTCGATGCCTCCACCGGCTAAGAAGGTGACACCTCCGACATACCGGAAGACAGAGAAGTCACCAGATTTCGGTACGCCATTTGAACATTCGAAGATTCCAAGTTCGAGCTCAGGAGCCGAGAAGCCTGACGTACCTCCAGCAGAACCTGATATGCCGGTGAAGCCTGATCCTCAGGAAGAATCCAAGGAAGACGTGAAACCAATACCAACAACAGTACATCGAGAGAAGAAAGCTCCTAAGGTTTCTGTAACATTGCCGTTAGCATTGCAGAGAGTCCATGAAAAGCTATCTCATCCAACTGAACTCTTGAAACTGCATTTGAAGCACTACCACATGTCAACTGAGCAGTTCAAGAAACGAACATCAGCTTTGAAGATTCCTGCTAAGATCTATGAAGAGTATGAAAAGGTAGTAAAGCAGTGTGACACATGTCAGAAGTCCAAGATTGCACCATCAAGATCAAGAATTTCAGGTATGAGAAGTGAAACGTTTGGAGAACTCACCTTTGTTGATCATGGTGAACTTGCTGTCAACGACAAGTCCAAACTTCTTTTCCTGATTATCTATGACGGTGCTACTTCTATGACCACTGCTTACGTATGTAACGGCAAGACTGAAGCAGAAACGATTGGCCATCTTTTGGAATACTTTGAAACATACCAGTTGAATCCTAAGTATCTTGTCGGTGACCAAGGTTTCATGGGTACTGAACTTGAAGCCTTTTACAATAGAAAGAATATCCGACCGATTACTTTAGGACCTGGTACTCCATGGCCAAATAGAGCAGAAGCAGCTGTTCGCATGTTGTACAAAAAGCAGATCACCCTGATGCTTAAGGCCGTGACTGAGGATCCATCCAGATACGAGATCACGTACCGTCAACTCCTCAGACAAGCATCACTTGCCAGAAACTCCATGGTTACCTTTGGTGGAGTATCTCCATTGGAGATGGCATTTGGACGGCGACCTGCAGATCTTTTGTACCCAGAGAACATGACACCAGAACAGCTTACAGCTTCACTTCCTTCTCCCGAGAAAAATATAGATGCCCTCAGAACACTTGCCATGAAGTCTTATCTAGAAGCAAAACAATCAGACGATTTGAGAAGAGATATTTCTGCAAGACTTCAATTGAGTGATGGTCCATTTTACCCTGGTGATAAGATA